TGGAACTGAAAATATGGATGGAGGACAACAGTTTAGCTTGTTTGTCGTGCTAGTTGGTGCTAGCGCAAAGGCTAACAGGCTAAGCTGAGGTTCTTCTTCCATGAAGCAGCTCTGTTGTCCTCCATCCACATTTTTAGTTGTAGACTGTCTTTTCTACCTTCTCCTCTCTGTCAACGCTCTCTGGTTTCATTTAAAAGAGTCGATCATCAGATATTGTCCAAGATTAACCTTCAGGGTGGATATAGCTCGCTCACACCGAGGACCTATCCATGTCATCATTTACCCAGAATGCTTTGTGTGTAAATAAAATGGCTCCATCCGTGTTAAAATGTACATTTTAAAATTTACTAAACTAAACAGTCTACAGTATTTTTATAGTCTTTATTTTACAGTTAAAATACATGTTTATTAAATAAAGTCTAATGTTACAACTAATCAGGAATCCCTTTAATAAAGCCATGTACAGTCAAGTGAAAAAAAAAAACAGGTCAGGAAAACCAGTTTCCTCAGGTCAGTAAACCGTATGCTTTGGTTTTGTAATAAGATGCTGTTGACAGTTACACCTTTAGAGAGCAGGACTGTGTTGAGCTGAGGGCAAAGATTTTAAATCAACACAACCTCAGCAGGTAAACAACACTTTTTGTTGCCAAAATTCTTCAATGACATCATTAGTTTATAAAATTTAAAAGAACTCTTAAGCTTGAGATTTAGCATTTTGTCGATGGTTCCTAAAGTTGGCAGTGACTGCTGGAGCCTATTTAACAACTAAAAATCGACCTGAAATTCAGAGTAAATACTGAATTTCCACTGCAGTCTCACTGAATTCTGAGTATTTGCATTTTGAACAGACGATTTTTGGAAAATCTTGATGAACTGTAAAATTGTCTAGTCTGTGTACAGTATTTTGTTGTCCATCTCCACCCACATCGTACCCACTTGGGCTCATTTTGGCTGAGACATTTCCTGTCAGAGGCAAGCTTTCATACAACTGCAGACAGGTTGGAGGATGCCTGTGACAAAATTGTGAACAGGCGTTAAGATTTTCCTTTTTGATAAATCCTATAGTTAGGCTTAGGTTTCCTGAGTTATCTCTAAATTCTGCTGATGGACAAACTGACCACAATTCCTCACTCTGCTGCTGTCTTTAGTCACTCTCCTCTACATGTTTGTTGTTGTGTCTTTTTCCTGTCCTCTCAAACCCAAACAGCCGAAGCAGATGGCTGCTCGTTCTGAGCCTGGTTCTCCTTGTTAAACTGTCACCAATGTGCAGGATGAGAAACTGCAACAAATGAAGATTCAACACAATATGCTGGCTTCTTAAAATTGGTAACTTCCACTAATTAGCTTTTAAAATGTATCTGAATATTTTTGTACAGAGGCCTGAGACGACTTTCATTGTGACAACATGGCACTGTAAATGAACTGAACTGAACAACTTTGGAGCATTTTGTTCAATGTTTTGCCTTCAAAGGAAGGTGAAGGTTGTGATTAAACAATCATGATCCTGAGGGTGAAATATGAATATGAAATAAAATAATAACAGGAGTATGAAATGGGTCTTTGAATGACCCTCTGGGACCAAGCTGACTTTATTTCATATTTTCTCACAGAATGATGTTCACAAGCTAATTTTTCTGTATATCATACAATAATCCTTTAAAATCCCTAGGCTTTAAGTTATTTTTTGTAAATGTAATTAAAACCTGATTAGGCCCTAATTGTTTAAGATTTCTCAGAATACATTCTCTCCAAAGTCATATAAAACATATTGTAACATTTTAGCACGTGTGCACAGACATCTTCTCAAAGAGCGAACAGTGACAAGAATTCACATTTAATCCAAATAAACCTCAGGCCTGCAGTGAAACAGTGAAGTCTCTGTTTGTGCTGCAGAAAAGACTATCTGTGTTGCCCTCAGCTCACTCAGCTGCAGAGAGAACTGAGTCAGCTGCAGAGAGAACTGTCAGCTGCAGAGAGAACTGAGTCAGCTGCAGAGAGAACTGAGTCAGCTGCAAAGAGAACTGAGTCACCACTCAGCTGCAGAGAGAACTGAGTCAGCTGCAGACAGAACTGAGTCAGCTGCAGAGAGAACTGACTCAGCTGCAAAGAGAACTGAGTCACCACTCAGCTGCAGAGAGAACTGAGTCACCACTCAGCTGCAGAGAGAACTGAGTCACCACTCAGCTGCAGAGAGAACTGAGTCAACTGCATGGAGAACTGTGTCAGCTGAAGAGAGAACTGAGTCAGCTACAAAGAGAATTGAGTCAGTTGAAGAGAGAATTGAGTCAGCTGCAGAGAGAACTGACTCAGCTGAAGAGAGAACTGAGTCACAACTCAGCTGCTGAGAGAACTGTGTCAGCTGAAGAGAGAAATGAGTCAGTTGAAGAGAGAATTGAGTCAGCTACAAAGAGAATTGAGTCAGCTACAAAGAGAACTGAGTCAGTTGCAGAAAGAACTGACTCAGCTGCAGAGAGAACTGAGTCAGTTGCAGAGAGAACTGACTTAACTGCAGAGAGAACTGAGTCAGCTGCAAAGAGAACTGACTCAGCTGCAGAGAGAACTGAGACAGCTGCAAAGAGAACTGACTCAGCTGCAGAGAGAACTGACTCAGCTGCAGAGAGAACTGACTTAACTGCAGAGAGAACTGAGTCAGCTGCAAAGAACTGACTCAGCTGCAGAGAGAACTGAGACAGCTGCAAAGAGAACTGACTCAGCTGCAAAGAGAACTGACTCAGCTGCAGAGAGAACTGAGTCAGCTGCAGAGAGAACTGACTCAGCTGCAGAGAGAACTGAGTCACCACTCAACTGCAGAGTAAAGTGAATCAGCGCTCAGCTGTGGAGAGAACTGGGTGAAGTAACTTTATGATAATTTTATCAAAATTCCCTTTATGGATCTTGAGATATTTTTTATGTATTAATTCATAAATGTTATTTTACCAGGCAAATCCCCTTGAAATCACAGATCTATGCACCACGGATGGACTGGGCCTAAAGGCAACCCAACATTCATCTTTTAAGTCAGAGTGAGAAAACCATAGCACCTGGATGAAACACACTAAAGCACTAGGAGAACAAGCAAACTTGAACACTGAATATAAAGTGATCACACTAAAGCTCTAGGAGAACAAGCAAACTTGAACACTGAATATAAAGTGATAGTGCTCTCTGGTTCAATAGTTGTACTGTACAAGTACAGTCACTTGGTTGGAAACATCCAACAAAAATGATTTCAAATAAATTCATGTCATGAAGCTTAATTGTGTCTTAAATCAGTAAAGTCTCCAGCTAGCAGGAGAGCAGCTCTGTGGCTAAACTAACAATTCATTACAACATGACTTTGTGTTTAAAAGCAGAAAGGTCGAACTATACAACACTTATTAATTTGAGTTGATAGGTCAAGTAAATCCAGAGTTATGATAAGAATATCTGACACATTTTTATTGTTTTAGTATCTGGTAGTGGAATAGCAAGGTTATCAATCGATATCCTAATTCAGGTATCGGATCAGACCAGATGTGAAAAAATGTGGATTGATAATACTTATGTTTAATTAGGAATAATTTGTGAACACGGACCATAGTCAGAATAAATAAACTCTGGCTGAGATACAATGACTGAATTGACATTAATAAGGGGGAAAACCTACAAACTCTACAGGTTGAAGACAAGAATGTGAAACTCTCAGAGCAACACGTCATGTTTGAGGACTTTGTGTTTCTCCTGGTAACTCAGGTGTGAGCGCACCTTTCTTGAACTCCTCCAGCATGGCATCCAGCTTGGTGTCATTGAAGACGAAGTGCAGTGGGTGGTTGTAGAACTTGGTGATGGTCGTCATGGGGGTGCAGTCCTCCGGGTCCACCAGGGCCAAGTCTTTCACATAAAGAATTTCCACAATGTTGGACCTGGCAGAACGCAAGCACCACAGATCAGCTGGATGTCATGTGAAGACTCATCAAAGTAGAGTTATCATGGGTAACCATGTTAACACGGTCAGGTCTGTACACCAGATAAAAGAAACACGAGCTCCTCTAAACAGACTCAACAGGTTCTCAGTTTGACAGTAATCATTCTGAAAAGTTTAAACATTTCATCAGTTTTTCTGGAGAAAACCAACTATTTTAGAATCATTGTACGATCCTCTCTGTGGTTCAAAAATGTCTGTACTATAACTTTTTTTACAACCATGTGAATTTAGATTTTAGGTGTAACAAAAAGTAAACAACTCCATGTTTATTTTTTTCACCTACAGCCAAATGGGCAAGGTGTATAATAAAATAAAAAATAAAATATCTCATTAACCACTGGACACATTATAATGAAACCAAACTTAAGCTCAGTTTTTGTAATACTGCCAGAGTTATAACTGTTTTTGAGATGGAATAGCTCTGAAAGCCATCATGAATCAAACGGCTTCTGATCTGGGAGCACAGATCATTTTCAACAACATGCAGAAGGAAGCTCACATGAATGGCAGGCCGTTTTAACATATAATCGGCTTCACCACACTTACGTTCCAGATATCTGAATCTGATTAATGACTAGTCATTTTAGTTATTTAAAAGCACAGTGTGTAGTATTTGTTGTTTTCAGCGACATCTAGTGGTTGAGTGGTTGAATCATCCTCCCTGGTCCTCCCCCCACCCCCACCCCCCGCTTCCAAATGCAAAGGAGTTGCTACGGTGTCTCTCAGGTGTCAAAAACCTTTGATAATTCCAACCGCGATGTCTA